CACCGCCACCAACACCAACACACCAACACCAACACACCGCCACCAACACACCCACACCAACACACCGCCACCAACACACCACACACTAACACCAACACACCAACACCCACACACCAACACACCAACACCAACACACCGCCACCAACACACCAACACCCACACACCAACACACCAACACCCACACTCCAACACCAACACACCGCCACCAACACCAACACACCAACACCAACACACCAACACACCGCCACCAACACACCAACACCAACACACCAACACCAACACACCAACACACCGCCACCAACACACCAACACCAACACACCAACACCAACACACCAACACCCACACACCAACACACCAACACCCACACACCAACACCAACACACCGCCACCAACACACCAACACACCAACACCAACACCAACACACCAACACCAACACACCAACACCAACACAAACACACCAACACCAACACACCGCCACCAACACAACACACCAACACACCGTCCACCAACACACACCAACACCAACACACCGCCACCAACACACCAACACCAACACACCACACCAACACACCAACACCAACACGCCGCCACCAACACCAACACACCAACACCAACACACCGCCACCAACACACCAACACCAACACACCAACACCAACACACCAACACCAACACACCAACACCAACACACCACCACCAACACACCAACACACCAACACCAACACACCAACACCCACACACCAACACACCAACACCCACACACCAACACCAACACACCAAAACCAACACACCAACACCCACACACCAACACACCAACACCAACACACTGCCACCAACACCAACACACCGCCACCAACACACCAACACCAACACCAACACACCAACACCAACACACCGCCAACCAACACACCGCCACCAACACCAACACACCAACACCCACACACCAACACACCAACACCCACACACCAACACCAACACACCGCCACCAACACCAACACACCAACACCAACACACCAACACCAACACACCAACACCCACACACCAACACACCAACACCAACACACCGCCACCAACACCAACACACCAACACCAACACACCGCCAACCAACACACCGCCACCAACACCAACACACCAACACCCACACACCAACACACCAACACCCACACACCAACACCAACACACCGCCACCAACACCAACACACCAACACCAACACACCAACACCAACACACCAACACACCAACACACCAACAACACAACACACCAACACACCAACAACCAACACACCAACACCCACACACCAACACACCACACCAACACACCAACACACTAACACCAACACACCCACACACCAACACACCAACACCCACACACCAACACACCAACACCAACACACCAACACCCACACACCAACACACCAAAACCCACACACCAACACACCAACACCAACACACCAACACCAACACACCAACACCCACACACCAACACACCGCCACCAACACCAACACACTGCCACCAACACACTGCCAACCAACACACCGCCACCAACACCAACACACCGCCACCAACACCAACACACCAACACCAACACACCGCCACCAACACACCCACACCAACACACCGCCACCAACACACCAACACACTAACACCAACACACCAACACCCACACACCAACACACCAACACCAACACACCGCCACCAACACACCAACACCCACACACCAACACACCAACACCCACACTCCAACACCAACACACCGCCACCAACACCAACACACCAACACCAACACACCAACACACCGCCACCAACACACCAACACCAACACACCAACACCAACACACCAACACACCGCCACCAACACACCAACACCAACACACCAACACCAACACACCAACACCCACACACCAACACACCAACACCCACACACCAACACCAACACACCGCCACCAACACCCCAACACACCAACACACCAACACCAACACACCAACACCAACACACCAACACCAACACAAACACACCAACACCAACACACCGCCACCAACACCAACACACCAACACACCGCCACCAACACACCAACACCAACACACCGCCACCAACACACCAACACCAACACACCAACACCAACACACCAACACCAACACGCCGCCACCAACACCAACACACCAACACCAACACACCGCCACCAACACACCAACACCAACACACCAACACCAACACACCAACACCAACACACCAACACCAACACACCGCCACCAACACACCAACACACCAACACCAACACACCAACACCCACACACCAACACACCAACACCCACACACCAACACCAACACACCAAACACCAACACAACACACCAACACCCACACACCAACACACCAACACCAACACACTGCCACCAACACCAACACACCGCCACCAACACACCAACACCAACACCAACACACCAACACCAACACACCGCCAACCAACACACCGCCACCAACACCAACACACCAACACCCACACACCAACACACCAACACCCACACACCAACACCAACACACCGCCACCAACACCAACACACCAACACCAACACACCAACACCAACACACCAACACCCACACACCAACACACCAACACCAACACACCGCCACCAACACCAACACACCAACACCAACACACCGCCAACCAACACACCGCCACCAACACCAACACACCAACACCCACACACCAACACACCAACACCCACACACCAAAACCAACACACCGCCACCAACACCAACACACCAACACCAACACACCAACACCAACACACCAACACACCAACACACCAACACCAACACACCAACACACCAACACCAACACACCAACACCCACACACCAACACACCAACACCAACACACCAACACACTAACACCAACACACCCACACACCAACACACCAACACCCACACACCAACACACCAACACCAACACACCAACACCCACACACCAACACACCAACACCCACACACCAACACACCAACACCAACACACCAACACCAACACACCAACACCCACACACCAACACACCGCCACCAACACCAACACACCGCCACCAACACACCGCCAACCAACACACCGCCACCAACACCAACACACCGCCACCAACACCAACACACCAACACCAACACACCGCCACCAACACCAACACACCCACACCAACACACCGCCACCAACACACCAACACACTAACACCAACACACCAACACCCACACACCAACACACCAACACCAACACACCAACACCAACACACCAACACCCACACACCAACACACCAACACCCACACTCCAACACCAACACACCGCCACCAACACCAACACACCAACACCAACACACCAACACACCGCCACCAACACACCAACACCAACACACCGCCACCAACACCAACACACCCACACCCACACACCAACACACCAACACCCACACACCAACACCAACACACCGCCACCAACACACCAACACACCAACACCAACACACCAACACCAACACACCAACACCAACACACCAACACCAACACAAACACACCAACACCAACACACCGCCACCAACACCAACACACCGCCACCAACACACCAACACCAACACACCGCCACCAACACACCAACACCAACACACCAACACCAACACACCAACACCAACACACCGCCACCAACACCAACACACCAACACCAACACACCGCCACCAACACACCAACACCAACACACCAACACCAACACACCAACACCAACACACCAACACCAACACACCAACACCAACACACCGCCACCAACACACCAACACACCAACACCAACACACCAACACCCACACACCAACACACCAACACCCACACACCAACACCAACACACCAACACACCAACACCAACACACCAACACCCACACACCAACACACCAACACCAACACACTGCCACCAACACCAACAAACCGCCACCAACACACCAACACCAACACCAACACACCAACACCAACACACCGCCAACCAACACACCACCACCAACACCAACACACCAACACCCACACACCAACACACCAACACCCACACACCAACACCAACACACCGCCACCAACACCAACACACCAACACCAACACACCAACACCAACACACCAACACCCACACACCAACACACCAACACCAACACACCGCCACCAACACACCAACACCAACACACCGCCAACCAACACACCGCCACCAACACCAACACACCAACACCCACACACCAACACACCAACACCCACACACCAACACCAACACACCGCCACCAACACCAACACACCAACACCAACACACCAACACCAACACACCAACACCAACACACCAACACACCAACACACCAACACCAACACACCAACACACCAACACACCAACACACCAACACCAACACCAACACACCGCCACCAACACACCAACACCAACACACCAACACCAACACACCAACACTAACACACCAACACCCACACACCAACACACCAACACACCAATACCATTGTTAATTGTTGTTGTGTATTGTTGTTAATTGTTGTTGTGTATTGTTAATTGTTGGTGTGTATTGTTGTTAATTGTTGTTGTTGTTGTGTATTGTTGTTAATTGTTGTTGTGTATTGTTGTTAATTGTTGTTGTTGTTGTGTATTGTTGTTAATTGTTGTTGTTGTTGTGTATTGTTGTTAATTGTTGTTGTGTATTGTTGTTAATTGTTGTTGTTGTTGTGTATTGTTGTTAATTGTTGTTGTTGTGTATTGTTGTTAATTGTTGTTGTGTATTGTTGTTAATTGTTGTTGTTGTGTATTGTTGTTAATTGTTGTTGTGTATTCTTAATTGTTGTTGTTGTGTATTGTTGTTAATTGTTGTTGTTGTTCTTGTTGTTTATTGTTGTTGTTGTTGTGTGTTGTTAATTGTTGTTGTTGTGTATTGTTGTTGTGTATTGTTGTTGTTGTGTATTGTTGTTGTGTATTTTTGTTGTTGTTGTTGTTGTTTCCAGGGCGCTTTGCGGTGCGCGACATGAGGCAGACGGTGGCCGTGGGGGTCATCAAGCAGGTGGAGAAGAAGGTCGCCTCGCAGGGGAAAGTCACCAAGTCGGCACAGAAGGTGCAAAAGACGAAGTGACGTGGGGGTGGTGGGGGTGGTGGAGGTGGTGGTGGTGGTGGTGGGGGTGGTGGTGGTGGTGGAGGTGGTGGTGGTGGTGGTGGTGGTGGTGGTGGTGATGGTGGTGGTGGTGGAGGTGGTGATGGTGGTGGTGGGGGTGGTGGTGGAGGTGATGGTGGAGGTGATGGTGGAGGTGATGGTGGAGGTGATGGTGGTGGTGGTGGTGCGGGTGGTGGTGGGGGTGGCGGTGGTAGTGGGGGTGGTGGTGGCGGTGGAGGTGGTGGAGGTGGTGGAGGTGGAGGTGGGTGATGGTGGTGGTGGTGGTGATGGTAGTGATGGTGGAGGTGGTGGTGGTAGTGGTGGTGTTGTTGTGGTAAGAGGGGGATCAGCAGCAGCAGCCGCAGCAGACCAAGTGAGAAGACGCTTGGATGGTGGTGATGGTGGTGGTGGCGTCGTGAGAGTGGGATCATCAGCAGCAGCAGCATCACCACCATCAACATCATCACCATCACCACCATCACCACCATCACCTTCACCATCATCATCACTTTCACCATCATCACCACCATCAACATCATCACCACCACCATCACCTTCACCACCATCACCTTCACCATCATCACCATCACGACCACCATCACCTTCACCATCATGTTCACCATCATCACCACCATCAACATTATCACCATCACCATCACCACCACCATCACCTTGACCATCATCACCACCATCAACATCACATTCACCATCACCACCACCATCACCACCACCACCACCACAAACATCATCACCTTCATCATCATCACCAACAACATCATCACCACCTTCACCATCTTCACCACCACCTACACCATCATCACCACCATCAACACCATCACGACCACCATCACCACCACCATAAACATCATCACCTTCACCATCTTCACCACCACCATCACCACCACCATCTTTCACAGCTGTTATTAAAGACGTTATTAAAGACGTTATAATGGAAAGAACGTGTGTGGGTGTCTTTGTATAATAATTATTTTATAGTAATAGCAGTAGGAGTAGCAATTCCTATTAATATGCTTGTGTCTTTCGGTAAAGTGATGTTGTTCGGTTCAAATAAAATTAACACACAAAAAACAAGAAAACACGTTTCCATCGCAACGCAGGCAATCGTCATCAGGGGCACGAAGAGCGGGAGAGCTGAAGCTTCAGATGGGTGGAGCCCACGGGTCATCAGCGAAGTGGGCGGGGCTAGTGATGTTAGAGTGACACATTCACACGTCAATGTAAGATCAGAGACATTCGCACGTCAATGTAAGATCAGAGACATTGACACGTCAATGTAAGAGCAGAGACATTCACACCACCCATCCTTGCAGTGCCTCACGGCTCTCGGAACCTCCGAGCGAAGGCTGCGGTAAAGCCTCCTCATTCTCTGACGTGGGATTCTGTAGCCGATGACAGTGGGCCTGTCGCTTTTTCTCAACCATCCTGAACACCTCCTCTGTCAGCCAGGGTCTCTGGGGAGGTCTGGACCGCGTACCCAAAGCATCCATTGCAGCTGCATGAGTCACAGTCCTAAACCTCGCCCATTTACCCTCGATGACAGGAAGAGTCGGGGACGATGCCAACCCTAGCCGCAAACGATGATGAAATTCTCGCTTGCAACTTTCATCAGATAACTGAGACCAGGCCACTTTAGGTTTGAATGGGGTCTTGGGTGTACACCCACCACCGGAGTGGAAGAATGGCAGACGCATCTTACAGATGACTAGTCGATGGTCAGAGGGCAGATCAGCTCCACGGTAGGTCCTGGTGTCAAGGACATGGGCTCGCATCCGCTGGTCCGTCACTATGTAGTCCAGCTGATGTTCTTGCTTGGACCCGGCATGCATCCATGATGTTGTGTGGATGCGCCGATGCAGGAACAGCGTGTTGGTAATTACAAGCCCATGGGCTGCAAAAAAATCTAGCAGTCTCCTACCGTTGTTATTGAGCTGATCTGGCCCATGCCCTCCAATCACTCCAGACCAGGTGCCAGTATCATGACCAACTCGGGCATTGAAGTCACCCAACATGATGACTCTATCCCGAGGGGCCACTTTAGCCAGCACCTGTGACAGGAGGTCATAGAAGGCATCTGACTCATCGGCTTTGCCTGCATCCCTCCATGGATGTTCATCTTCGGTGGGGGCATAAGTAACCACGACCACCATTCCTCGCCTCCGGTTGATGGGAAGGCGAGCCTAAAGTAGCCTGGGGCTAAAACAGCTTCCCACACCTCACCGCCACGCTCCCACGCCCCCTTCATTCTTTTGTTCAAAAGAAGAGCCACACCCTGTTGTTTGGCAATCTGCTGCCCCGAGTAGAGGACTGTCCACCCCTCATGGTGGCAGGAGCCAGAGCCGGTCCACCGGACCTCCTGAATGCCGCATAGATCCAGGCGGTACCGGTCCAGCTCCCGACAGAGGAGTGGCAGCCTCTCCTCCGCAGTGAGCGTTCGAACATTCCACGTGGCCACCCGTAGTGGCTTTTCGTTGTTTCTGGAGGAGCCCCGAGGGTAGGTATTCAATCTCCTGGCTCCGTCAATTGGGGTTTGGCCAGGAGACGTCATAGACGCCTGGCCCCCCGGGGCCTCCGGGACAAGCTTATTATTTAAATATTTCAGTTTAAATCGTGGTTTCGTGGTAATTAATTGAAGGTGGAGGGGTTACCAGCCCCTCGCACCCATCCAGAGCCCCCGTTTAGCCCCTGTGGTGGACACATATGCCATGAGGGGAGGAGCCAATCAAAATTGGATCGCCCCCCACAGCACTGTCCACGACAGAGTTGCCCGTCCGGCACCGCGAGGAGGTAGGGGGTTGTTTTGCCGGACTACACACACATACACACACATACACACACACAAACATACACATACACACACATACACAGATACACACACATAGACAAACACATACACACACATACACACACATACACACATACACACACATACACACATACATACATACACATACACACACATACACACACATACACATACACACATACACACACATACACACCCACATACACACTCACACACGTACATACACACACATACACACACAAACACACACACATATACACAACAACCGCCATTCGCCACTAAGTGGCGGTGACGTCACCACGACGCTTGTGCCAGGCTATGTGCACCCTGAGGCCACGTGAAGTGTCGAACGCCCGCTGGCAGGAGGTCACGGGGCAGACCCAGGTGCCACGGGTCGACTGACTGAGTTGACTGGCTGATGCACCACTTGTGCCCCCTACTGTGCCAACCTGCTGTGCTTTAGCCACCCTGCGCTCCGCTCGTTGTTCTGAGCGTCGCTCCTCCGCCCTCCGTTGTTGTTGGAGGGCGACTGCCTCCAACTGCCCAGTAGCATCCTTCACGAGCCTCCTCCACAGAGGCCGATCTTGACACCGCTGGTACCAGTCATCGGCAAGTCCACTCAGCTCCACGTCCTCCTGTACCACATCACTCCATCTCTTCTCTAGCCCATGCCGCGCCCGCTTAGCCCCCTCAATCCGGCCAACCAAAAGCTGTTTCGGCATGCGGTGGCTGGGCATGCGGGCTACATGACCCAGCCATCGCAGCCTTGCCTGCCGGAGGAGCTCACCGATGGGACCCTGCCCAGATCTTTCAAGGATTTGTGAGCTCCTCACACAATCCAGTCTGGTTAAACCCAGGATGGATCGTAGGCAGGCCAGCCTAAATGTTTCTAACCGGCGAAGATGTTCCATTAGGGGGGTCCACGTTTCCCAAGCGTAGAGAAGGGAGGGAATGACCGTGGCCGAGAAGACCTGAAGCTTAGTGCGGAGCGACAGACCAGGTAGCTTCCATACAGCGTTACGCAACCGATGAAAAGATATTGCCGCTCGACTGATTCGGAGTGAGACCTCTGCTGTTAAACTGGAGCCAGTCATAAGCACACTGCCCAGGTATGGGAAACTCTCCACTCTCTCCACAACTGCCCCATCACCGATTGGGAGTTGTGGGGGTGGAGTGTCCGATGGTACAAAATACCCAGGCAGGTGCTTAGTTTTGGTGGGGCTGATGGTAAGGCCCCACCTCTTAGTGGCACGCTCCAGTCTCAGCAGCAGCGTCTCCAACTCCTCCTCTGACTGAGCAGCTATTACCAAATCATCAGCATACATAACGTGGTTGAGCAATAGGGAGCCATCCCTTGACCGCACCCGGGCATCGATTAGCCTCCCATTATATCTGTACCATGTGGAGATTCCCCCGGTACAGCTATTGAAGGCTTCACGAACTACGTGGTCAAAATAGATGTTAAATAATGTGGGAGCCAGAGGACATCCCTGTCGCACCCCAAGGTGTACAGGGAATGGCTCTGACTCCCGGCCACGTAGTTTTACCCGGGCCCGCTCACCATCATGAAGGTCCTTAATGATCGTGAGCAGAGGGTCAGGTACTCCAAAAGCACGAAGAACGACCCAGAGCCCAGGCCTACTGATGGTATCATAGGCCTTGACCAGGTATATAAAGCAGAGATGTAGGTCTTGTTGGAATTCCCTATACCTCTGCTGTAGCAGACGGACAGAAAATATGGCATCTGTGCAGGACCGCCCTTTCCTGAAACCGCATTGGGGCTCCGCAAGCCTCTCCTCAGCGTGCCTGGCAAGGCGATGCTGAATAATCCTTGCCAGGACCTTTCCCGGCACACTGAGGAGTGAGATGCCCCTGTAGTTGTTACAGTCTGTGCGGTCCCCCTTCTTAAAGAGGGGGACCACCAGGGCATCCTTCCAATCCTGCGGAACCCGTCCAGTGGTCCAGACTGTTGTTATGATGTCATATAGGGCAGTCTGTGCACAAACGCCACCCTCCCTCAGCATTTCGCTTGGGAGATCATCTCTGCCCGCTGCCTTTCCTGGTCTCAGACTCCGGATCACCTTCAGTACTTCCTCAACAGATGGCACCTCAGCCAGCAACTCACAGGGGGTGACTTCTTCCAATATTTGAGGCACCGCAGCCTCAGCAGGGTCATCCTCACTTTGTG